TTTTTTTTTTTCTCAGTGTTGTTTTCATTCAATAAGGTGCATTGTGGGGCCAATCTGTTTAATTATAGAAAATGAAGGCGACATTAGCTGCCTCAGATCACAGTGAGAGGAGGCGAGAGAGACGATTGGCCTTGGAGAATTGGGAAATTGGAGCGGCGTGTTCGACCAATTCCTGTGGGACGCTTTTGTGATTGTTGGAGAAAAGGGTTCCTTAACTCTCAGGTCACACATTTGATCCCTTCCCATCCCAGCGGTCTTTCCGTTTTGGCTAAAATTAAATGTGCTTTGCACGAAATGTTATTCATGCTACTTGTAATTATACGCTTATGCAGGGAGGCAGGACTCTGCATATTTTGGCAGATTGCGTGTCAGCTCATTAAAATTCTTCTTCCCTTGAAAAAAGATGTATAAAAAGTTCATTTGCTGTTGGAAATTTGCAGCATTTAATGTAATTTCCTTTTTCCTTTTACGCAAGAAAATCCCTTTGCTTTGAGCCGTTTCTGCTCAAATGCTTGTGAACTTTTTTGAAAACTGGTGAAAAGCATGATTGATGGCGTGTCCATTAAGTTTCACACAGCGCAGACGTTTAGGGCCTAAGATTCAGCACGAGTCGCGCTTGAATGTCACAGAGTATAAAGAGAAAAGCTGAAAGCTTGCAGGCTGATGAGGTACCCCGATGAAATCTGCTGAGCTGTGAATGGGAGAAATTGGACAGGTCATTATGTAATGATAAGTACATTTGCTGCATTTATTTAATTTCCTGAAAATGGTGTCAGTCGTTCTGGGAGTGATGTGTCGCCTCCAGATGGGGGTAAACGTGACAGACCGTCTCCTCTCTTTGTTTCTCTTAGGCACCGTTTGCTCTCAGCCTCGTCAGCAGAAAGTTGACCATGGAGCCAAAGGTCACCATTAATACCCGGATTGTGCTGGTGGGAGCTTCGGACACAGGTTTAGCTTTCCTCGAGGTGCTTTGTTCCTGGTGAGTCTGCCTCTGAACTAACTCCAGGATTGATTGTGGCTGTACTTTCTAAATTTGTGGCAGGAGTGACAGCGTTTTTCCTATTTCACTCTGATCCGATTAGCTGTTTGGTGTCCCGGGGCAAAAATTTGCTCAAGCCCTTATTAAGCCTCTCACAGAAACCTCTCACCATCTGTGCATTGTGTATGTACCTTATCATCTCCAAGTCCCCATCAAGCACAGAGCACACAGCTCTGCTGCACACGGCACACAGCTTCATTAGCTGCTCAGAATCTCACCTATACACTCAAAGTGCTCCCAAGAGTTTCTGTCTGTCGGGTAGTTTGTGGTGAACAGGCGGATGTAAATGTGCCACGTACAAGTGTAGCCCGATGTATACAATATTGTTCCTTTGTGCCATAGAGTGCCACTGTTGCCACCAACATATGACATATTCCTTCATGAATCATTATAGTCATATTCAATCTGACCATACACACCAGCCGGTTGCCCCAAATACTCACAGGATCAAATATAGATTAATCCACTTCTAAAAGTAGTTCCTGATAAATTTATCATGTTTACTCATGTTTAATAAAAATTGATTGAACTTTTAAAGTTGCTCTTATGGCATTGATTAAACTGCTAAAATTAATTTGTGTTTAAGATTACATATTCAAAATAGGTCACAGTGGATGTCTCCATATATGTCTAATAATGAAAGTCTGTGTAAATGGCACTCAGAATCATCAAGTGGCGCAACCTGTAGTACAAACACTTAAACATGCACCTCATGTTTCTGAATCAGTAACTGTCTGCAGACAATGATGTCTGCTATAAGCACAAACAGGTCACACTGCATGTGGCAAAGAAGAAGAACACGGTGAGGATGCAGGTGCTGTAATAGATGTTAGAATGAAACGTGTTTAGGTGCCCGAGTAGCCCAGAGCCTCTCACTAGAGCTTCTGTTTCATTTCTTTATCGCCTTTCATGCCAGGAATCCAAACCTCTGGAAATGTCACTTGACTTCAGCTCAGGCGTCTTCTGTTTGCCTCTGTCCTCGCTCCCTGAGATTAACTGCTCCAGCAAATAATAAGAAGCAGAGGGCTGCTGATTCAGAGCCAGCTGATAGCTGCCAGGCAACCAGGGTTGTTGTTTTGAGAGAGCGAGATCTCTCAGCGCTCATAGAGCTGGTGAGGCTGGCACTGCGGCGGTGCCGGGGCAGGCGCACGCAGCTGTCTGAGGCCTGGCATTCAGCGGGGCCAGAGCCGGCCCCCTTTAATTAGCCACTCCACTGTTTCCCCCGTCAGGATCTGCTGCAGCGATCTGTGTTTGCTGTCACTAATGAGTTGACTAATGAGGCAGTTAGTGTCTACTGGACTAATGGTGAGGCGGCAACACATTTAGAGGGTGAAAGATGGGTCAGTTTCGGCCTGCGAGGGGCCCCCCTTATCAGCCTTGCCCAAATGTCCACCCCCCTCCACACCAACACAGATTTCCTTGTGCTCATTGAGTCCAGCCCCCCCCCTCTCCATTACTGGCTGGGACGGGGTCAGGCAGATAAAGAGCTCTGCAGCGGCTCAGCCCTTTGCTCACCGCGGTCAGACTGCAGGGTCACCACAGCTGTCTGTCACCGGCAGATAACAGAGCAAATCCAGAGCTGCTGATTTTTTCGCATCCAGACGCCAATAATGGGCCATAATGCCTCAGCGCTGCAACAAAAAATCCATCTTCTGGCACGGATTGACAAGAAAGTTTGACTGTGGTCGCTGTCAGATTGTTGCTGTGTTATTGTGTTGTTGTTATTATTCGCATGTTCATGTCAGAAAGCAACGCTTAAACCAATGCTGACACAAAGCACGGAGGCATTTTTATCTGATCCAGCTATAAATATTGTTTGCTGGGAAATGTGTTTATTATGCTAATATCTACAGGTCAGTAATGTAGAACTTTTAAAGGAAAGAAAAGTTACTTTAGGTGATTCGTCAAATCATTTATATTTTTACCTTTTTGTTTGTTTCTTTCTTTCTTCAGTAGATGGAAGGTCTCTCAGCTTGCTAGTTATCACATTCCAAATTAAAGTTATAGCAGTAACTTTATAGCCAAGCCTCAATAACACAATCATTTTTTATATGCCTAAATGCTTCCTAGCCTAACATTCACATTTTAATCAACATGTCAGGACTAACTCATAGTTCAATATCTTTGGCATGCAAACAGGAGCAGCCAGGGATCAAACCACCAACCTTCTGCTTTGTAGATGACCTCTTCTACTTTATCATACTATTACCTGCTCATTAGTGTAAGTAATGTGCTGGAGGTTGAACGCCTGCTAGCAGCTAACTGCCAGTGACAGAGCGACTTGCTGGTCTTGTGAGGATGCTGATTCATAAAAACTGGAATTTTGCTTATTTCACTAATTTTTCCACCCCCATAGATTGGCATTTGAGTACCACCCACTAAGATGGAGCAGCAAGGTTTATGACTAATACTGCAGTCAGCCTACAGGTGTAATTTGAGACCAACTTTACAAAATGTGCAGTATAATGAGTCATTTAATGAAAGCATTATATAAAAACCAGCAACTTTTGGCTCACATCAAAGTGCTAAGCAGATTTTCATTCAGCTGACCAGGTGGTGTCTTTGGAATCAGCTTCTGTTTATCATCTCCGTGGAGCTGTGGTGCAGGATATTTAATAGTACCTGTAATATTTTACAGGTAAAATAAGCACCCAGGAAAGTCTGTTTTTGGTTATTTGGCTGTAGTTGTAGTCCTGTAACAATCCTGTATACCAGATATAACCTTAAAGTACCTCTTCAATATGAGGAACCAAGCACAGCCATCGTGTGTTTACCACATGCCTCACTGCATGTATCTACTGCTATAACTGCTCACTAATATGAAACAACAGCCTTCCCATGTACAATCGGTTTAGCAGCATTTTGGTGTCTGGTGTTGTCAATGTGCGCCGCTGGGCGTTAATTTAGCAGGAAGCACAGATAAGAACAGAGCAGGAGGTGATCAGAGTGTCAGGGTGATAAGGCTGGACGCTGCGAGGTACACACACACTTTGCTATTCACTGAGCGTAGGAGCTGGAACTGCTGTTATCAGCTGTGTAATGTCCTGTCGGCCACAACAAAGGAGGCCATTTGCATCACAAGAGATGGTTTATACTGTCAACAGTAAACTCACAAGAGCTCAGACGGCTCCGGTTTTTCATGCTCAGGAACCACAAACGCATCAGCAGGCTGGAGAATGTGCACCTGAGAAGCTTTACGCTTTGTAAACATGCCTACATTGGTAAACAGAGGGATTTTAAAAGGTTTATGATTTATGTAAAAGCACCCTAATATGTAATTTCAACAGTGTACTGAATTTTGAATTAAAGCTAAACTCCTGAGCTGCTCTTTTTAGCCCCGTGTAATTTACGTTTGCCAATCTTTACAAACGGAAACTTGCCAGCGAACTGAGGATAACTACCCCCCCCCAAAAAAAAAAAACAAACAAAAAAAAAAAACCAGACAGTGTGACAATGGTATAAATAGCTGTTTTCAGTTCAGTGCATTCAGATCTGTTTTAGTTTCTATTTTGTAGAACTTGTTTTCTCGTTTGGATCATGGTGTCAGGAGTCAGCTTTAAATCAAGCTCAAGTGTATTGAAAACGCAGTGTCCGCAGTAAATGAGCTGCTAAAGGTGCAGGATGGGCTATCATGACAACGTTTCAATGCACCGCCGTTTCAGTTCATAAAACCATTCTGCTATGTTTGTGTTCTCAGGTTAAAGGTGGATAACAGTCTGCTGTTTGCGCAACAGTTCAGACGCAGGCAACATTTTTCAGTCTAATATTGGCGTTCCAGTTTCTGTGTCTGCATACATATTTAAATAACCGGATAAAAAACACGACCCATTATACAACATCCCAGTTTCAGTGTTACTTAAGTTTAGTTATTGTTAAATTGGTGTTAAGCAGTTTTGTTACACTTAGATAGCACAGAGGATACTTAAATTTGACAAAAGTATACTAGAGGTGTGCTACAAGGTGTCTTTAGCTGTTTGTGTATCCATGCGAATGTCAGGAACATCTGTCAGTCAGTGGTGACACACCCACACAGACCTAAGAAGAAGACTGATTAGCCTGAGTAAGTGAAATATGGAAAGGTTGTTATTCCTCCGGTGTTCAAGACATTTAAACATTACGATAAAGGTAGCTTTGAGCGCTGTAAACTAACTTTTTGGATAAATAATGTTGAAAGAGTAGAGAAAAAATAAAAAAGCTTCACTCTTGTCAAAAGTAAACATGTTAATAGACATATGCTCATAGCTCAGTATGCAATACTCAGTGCTTGCTGCTATTGTTATCCAACCACTGCACTTCCATTTTGCTGCTACTCGGCATCTAAAATGTCAACTGTGTCATTGTATCCTTGAATTTCCCAACTGTGGGACCAATAAAGGCTTTGTTGTCTTAACTTATCTATGATTCTTTACCTGGCCTTATATTCCCGTAACACAAAATCATCACTATATCAACTGAGTTGTGACTTTTATTCCATATTTTCTTCTTTTTGTGGCTAGCTTTAGTCTGCTTTTCTAAATGTTTTTATACATCTGTGGACAAAGGCAAGGCAAGTTTATTTGTATAGCACAATTCAACAACAAGGTGATTCAAAGTGCTTTACAGAGACATTAGAAACAAGAACAAATAAAAAGCATGATTTAAAATTGATTAAAACAAGCAAATAAACTAACTAACTAATTAACAAACAAACAAACAAACAAACAAACAACAGTATATA